CATACAATTCTAGGTGAAATGTTGAGCCAAGTATGTGTGTGTGTGCTTGAAACATTTTGGGTAGGTAAGTATGTAAGGCAAATATCTTTATGTTCCTTATTTTTTATCTTGATAATTAGAAAAAAACTTAAAATAAAGCTAAATCTTAAAAAAATCTGGATGGAACCAAACATATTTTTTGGCCTGAAACAAATCTAGAATATTCTAGAAATAATTGCACAAATGAAGGGGTTTAATATTTTGGGCAAGAATGCTATTAAATTGTATATTGTTGATTGAGGTTTTAATGAAAAATTTTTCTTAAAATCCAAAGAAAATTTTGTGTAAAAACTCTTCTGTTGGCAATGTAATTATTTCTGTAAAAGCTATGATGAGTGGTTATTACAATTAAATGTCTTTAGCGCTCCACTGGAGACCTTCTAGAACCTAAGTAGACTTCTTCTCTCTCTAGTCACCAGTAACTCTCTTTTGCTTTTAACAGACAAACAGCTAAATACATAATATCAAGTTCAAGTTTATAATTTTTAAACTTATCAAATTGCCAGAAGGTTGGTGTGTGATGTATTGGTTATCACAGTCTTTAACGACTGGTGCATTTTCTACCTTTTCCCTATTTACAGCGCAGAGATCAAGCCTTTCTTTTTATTTCTGGAAAAGAAACGATTTGTAACAACTCAAGAAATAAGAAAAAAAAGATAACTTTAACCAGAAAACATACATCTAACTTGCTATCAGAAATTAAAGAGTGACTAAGTACTGCAAAATTGATCTTCTAAAAGAGTATATATAACCTCTATCTAAATATATCAAACATTGCACTGCTATTTACCTCATCAAATTTTATTTCAAACCACTGTCTCAAATAATCTTGCAATAGGCAAGTTTAAAAAACATTATTGCAAGTTCAATGCTTTATCAGTTTGAGACAATTTTCCTCAGCAATAAATGCGTAAATAGTTGTAAGTGTAAAATCCACACAAGATATAAATGGTAGATTTACATCAGAAATGTCATATGACTCCAAATTAAAGTTACTTAAAAGAAATCAGTAACTTTTTATTTTTACCATATTAATAATGTTTGGTGACCATATTAACTTCTGAGAAAATTCTTATGGTAATAGCTGCAAGATGAACAGACAAATAAATTGAAAAACAGGCATGGCACACAGGAGAGTATTTCAATATGACCTGACATATATTTTGGACAAAAGTTGTGAAATCATTGTAAACCTTTTAGAATACTTAAATTAAATAACTAACTGACAAACATACTCCTTTAAATCTAGTATATTCAATTGTTTTGATTCAAGTTACATTACTTTGTTTGAATTTTGCACAAAGCTACACAAGGGCTATCTGCACTAACCATTCCTGATTTAGCAGTGAAAGACTAGAGGGAAAGCAGGTACATCAACATCCACTGCCAACTCTTGGGCTAATCTTTTACCTATGAATAGTGGGATTGACCATCGCAGTATAATGCCCATATGGCTGAAAGGCGAGCATGTTTTGTGGGATGGGAATTCGAACCCACAACCCTCAGATTGCGAGTCGAGCGCCTTAACCGCCTGGCCATGCTGGGCAGCCTTATAATGAGCAACAGTTGAAACAGACAACCCCTTACCAAACAACTAGGTGAAGAACTGGGACAGGTGAGGAACAGAAGGACGGAATGGTCGGAAGCCACAGTGAATGAACCCACATTAGAATTAGTACCAATGGCTCTAGTATATATACAAAGAGGAAGGACAAATGGTATGGACAAGGAAAGACGCTACATGAGGGATGAGTCCCTGAGCTGAAGCAAGGGACCAGACAAAAACCATGCATAAAGATGGAGACTGGCAATGTTGGAGTGAAATAAATTCAATCATGGATGTTGAAGGAGCAATTGGGACAGAGGTAAGGGCAGGGACTATTCCTCTAGTAAAGCAGAGGGAACCACTTCTGAGCCAGCCAATATGGAGCAACCAGAAGAACATGACAAGGAGTGGTCTGGATAAGGGAAAAGGCTTTGGAAAGAAGTATGATTGGAGGGTAGGCATATATATTTGAATACCCCTCCAATCTTAAGTGAAAGCATCCACCCCCAGAGGCAAGGGGTGAGGAACTGGAGACCAAAAGGAAGGAAGTTTGGCATTCCAGAAAATGGCAAAAACATCCATATGCAGTGTTCCCAGTTGAGAACACATCCACAGAAATACTTGAGGATGAAGGGATCACTCCTTGGACAGAACCTGGTTGGGATGGGATACGTGATCAGCCACAAGATAAATAATTCCTGGAACATGACACGCCAGAACCGTCATGTCATGGTCTTTGGCCTAGTACAGGATATACAGAGTTTGATAACACATATATCTGGAATTGGTTCCTCTTGCTTGGTAATATTGCTGACAACAGTGGAATTGTCAGAATGAACCATAACCACCCACCCCTGCAGGAGCAAAAGGAAATGATACAGAGCCCGATAAACTATCACAGGTTCTGGGATGTTGATAATGGAGAGTAGACTCCTCGACTGACCACCAACACAAAATCTCTTTTTAATCAAGGAAGGCCCTCCAACTCACCAAGGAAGCATCTGTGAACAGATGAGACTCAGGACGAGGTGGAGGAATGGGAATCTCCACGATGGTCAAGTTCTTGTTGAGCCACCAAGCAATGCCAGCCCTGATCCCAGGTGGAAGGGTGATGAGATGGTCCAAGGGATCATGGGAGAAGTTCCACTGGTCAAGAAGCATCCATTGAAGGGAATGCATGTGCACTCAACTCAAGGGAATGAGAGCTTCCAAGAAAACCCACATCCCCAAAAGAGATAGATCCTCTCATGCAGAAAATGGCTGGGCATAAAAAGAGACAAATAGTAGCCAGTCGTCCATGGAATGGTGAGCTTGAAGACTCAGGAAGTGAAGATGATGTGCAAAAGAGTATACTACTTGACAAAACACATACAGAGCTGAAGAAAGACTGAACAGCAGTGCCCAGAACTGGAAGACAGAACCCTTGTAGGCGAACTGAAGTAAACGATGTGACACTGGGGCAATTAGAGACATCTGTTACATCAAACTTGGTCATCCAATGTCCCAGGGAAAAAACCCTTAAGTGAAAGGTAGGACTCCATGTTGAAGAGAGGTGACTCCAGATAGGTATACAGCTGGGACAGATCTATGATGGGTCTCCAATCTCTCGGGTTTTGGGGGATAACAAACAGAAAGGAGTAAAATCACGGTTGAGTAGGCACCACTCGATAGCTCCTTTGTATAGGAGGTCTAAAAAAACTTGGCAAGATGACTGGATGAGGTATGATACCAAGGACAAGGGAAGGAGATCTGGGAAGTGGATTGAGGGAGGAGCAGAACTTCAGATAGAACCCAAAACTGTCATGAAGTGTAGCCAAAAAAAAGTCACATAAACTAAACATACTCAGAGAAAGTACTCATTATTAACGAACTAATAAACTTAGAAATTTGTAGTCTACAAAGGACATAAAAATAAACCATCAAAACTATGAAATTCGACCTCAAACACAAAACAATAAGCAAAAACACTTAAAGTACAAAGCCACTAAAAGATCTTAGAAGATAAAAGATGTAAATATCGAACATATAAGTCCACCTAAAGAACCTAGAAGACAAAGGATGCAAAAGTAAAATCTATCATAAAGAACAATAATAAAAAGTCACCCAGTTAAAAATAACAAATTGTGACTCAAATGTAATCCCCAATCAGATGTAACTAGTAGTAAAGAAAAAGGAATGTACAAACAAAATAACATAAACAGTGAAAAGATGCAAAAATAATGAACCAATACATCCACAAATTTAGCCACAAATGTATACAGTTAGAATATCAGAGTGAGAAAAAAATGTTTTATTGTCACTTATATTGTAGTTTTGATTTGAAACAAACTCCTGGGAAAATAATACATGGAGGCAAATTAAAAAAAAATTGACAGGTAACTGCTGATTGTTGATGGTGACTTACATACAGAAACTATTACGTTTTTGCACAACATAAAAAAAAATTTGCTTAGAAAATAACACATGAATATGTGTGTGTGCAATATATTTGACTGGTATTATAATTTAGCACACATACATAAGTATGCTGTAATTGAATGTGAACACAAGAATGTGGTGATTTAGCAAAGCACATACTAGTTTCATAAAACATACATGACTTTACAGAATTGAGCAAAAAACTAGGCACATCACAAACACATCATTTATTCTCAATTATGGTTTCACCAGTAAAAAAGCATCATCAGGTACAGTCTGAAATTTTTTGTAACAGGTTTGTATATTATGAAACTATACACCAATTTGATCGAGACAAAAACTTTAAAATTTTACGTATCTATAAAAAGGGTAAAAAACTGGATAGCCTGGGAATTTTGGAAATAAATAGAAGTCTTAAAATAAACCCAGAAAAAGTTCTAAACAACCAAACAAACTTAAGCTCCTCCCCACTTGTCTCTATATGAATGTCAAGGTCACTTTTGGTTCTTTGTTTAAACATATATAAACCTGCTACAAAACATTTCAGCCTGTACCTGATAATACCTTTACTGGCAAAACCACAGTCGTGAATAAATGGTGTATTTGTGAAATGTAAATTTGTATTGTTTTTTTTCTCAATTCTTTAATTATGGAGTTTCATCAAGTACTGATCGTTTCAAGTATCATTTATATACATGACTTCGTATGAATAAAGCATACTGGCACTGAAAATGCAACTAGTATATAAAAATATTTCTTCCTAGCATTCAGTATGTTTCAATTTAAGTTTCTATACAAAGTTTATTTATCTTATGTCACCAAAGCTATTTACTGCACCTGTTCAAAAACTTGTTAAGAATATTGTAATTTGAAATTATTGATTTATCACAATTTGTACACATAATGCATTTTTCACCCTTCTGACAATTGTGAACAGCTTATTAGTATAGGATGTTCCATAATCCATACATGGAAGACAAGAAAATCAAGCAAGAGATAGAGAAATGTTTTTTATTAAAATATCTACATATACAATTTTAATTATCATATTATACCACTAACAATGTTCACAGTATAATGAAACAGTGAAAAAAAACAATTTCCTACTTATCTTTCACATTCACACCAACTTCTTTAAAGAGGAACTACTTTCTTGTAATTTAGAAAAGAGGTGGTGAATTCTCTGTCTGTTATAAAAGAAACAAAAATAAAATCCTGAAATACACTTTATAACAAAGAAACAATTTATGAAATATGCAGCTCAAACATGAACATTTCATTATAGTAGTAGTAAAAATGTATACATTTTTCTTAATTTCCATGCAGGTGTTCTGTATGTAAGTACAATATCCTTCTAAACCCAATGTTGTAAGATCATAAACATATACTTAGGTAAAGTTCACATATAGTAATAGCTGGGATGGGGTTAACCCATCTTAAGGAATGACACAGTTAATAAAATTATCAAGGTCACAGAAAAAATGAATACCTTATTCACTAAAATATGTGACAATTAAAACAAGTAAGTCAATATAACCTATTTAACATTGATAGCATTTTTCTAAAAGTAGCTGTCATTTTAGATTAAAAATATTTTTAGTTCCTTTCATCAGTCTTTAACTACATTTTATTGTATAATATATGGACAATAATGAAGTGTACATAAGGTCAAAATGCTGAACAATGAAAATATATTCTAGACATTAAAAACATATAACTTTGAAACCAGAACCAGATGTTTTAGAAGTTTATATTGATTTTTTTAAACATGAATCATTCCATTTTTAGAATCACAAACTCAAGTGTCAGAACACTGCATTAATATCAAGTACAAATAACTTTTCTAGTTGCTGTAGTACAAATTGCAGTATTTCTGACAAATCATGAAATATTGTTTTATCTTAAGTGTAAGGTTGTAAACTTATTTGAATACCAAAAAATATTGATGAAATACAATATAATGTAGCCTCTCTGAAATAGTTTTAAAAAAGTAAAAACTCTAGTTCAAGATAAACAAACCGTAGTAAATTATCTTGCCCAACTCCTCGTTTTTCTTCAATCTCTTCCACTGTCTTTGTTAAAACTGACACTATGTTTGTTATTAAAGTAGGTGAAAGGTTCAACAGGAATTCAAGAACTTTGAAGGCTTTTCCTGATGCCCATGGTAGATGATGCCTCACAAAATGTTTTGTCACTTCTAAAATTTCAGAACTGTGGGTAGAGAAATTATACATTCACTAATAATTTAAACATAAACCTAATTTTTAGCCTCAAGCTCCTAAGAGTAAAACTATAAAAAATTACTGCCATGAAAAGTATTAAAGAGTAATCTTATTTTACCAGAAGGGATTTTTTCTTTTCTTTAATCAAATATTTTAGCAAAGTAACTTGCATACCAAATTTATGTTTTACCCGGAATCTTGAAAATGACTAAAGAGTATAGATTTATAGCTTTATTTTATATGCTACACAAACAATATAATTCTAAGAGCTTATGTGTGAAAGCAAAGAAGATTATCCAATAATATGCCACACTATATCTGCCACATCCAGTGCTGATGTAGCTCTATGCCTAATACCAGGGCTTACCAGTCCAGCTGACTATGACAGACATGTATTATCAATTGCATAAACAACTGCTATGGTAGGAACCTGATTAAGAAAGTGAATTGTGATTATTATCAACTTCATTTAAGCAATTTCCACATAATTAGGGTAAGGACTAATAATAATACAATATCACTTGTTTATTTCTATTAACAGATATTTAAACCTGTAACATGATAAAACATGTATAACTTAACCTTTAAAATAACAATGGTATAAATTTTTGAAAATACACCTTGGTTAGTTTCAAAAATATTAATAATGCTGAGAAGAAATATTACAAATTATTTTCTAAAAATATTTATAAATTGACAGAGAGGATGAGGAATGTATTACAGAAATGGAAGTTTTCAAGACTTTCTTTTATTTATAGAAATTTCTAGAAAAGTCAGTAAATTAAAACAACTTTATTGACCTTCAGACAGCAAATAAAGAAATTAGTGACATCCCATTAAGTTTACATTTCACTTATCAACTATTAAATATTATATTAAAAATTTTCAATATTTAAATAAGTTTGTAATTAATAACAAGGAAATTCTATCAGAATACTTTTTCTACAATATTGTTTCTCTGTATTTTGCATAGCTTTGATTAGGAACTTTGAGCTATTCCATTTTTACATTAAACACTTATGGAAAGGATTGACCTTTTCTATAGGGCTTCAGTCAATATGACAAGTACACGTCATGACCTCTTACAGACTTATGTTCAAAATTTAATGAAACAATTTTAATATCAATGTATGTCAGTAAAATTGGCATCACACATAGCTTATAATTGCACTTCATATATTATTGGAGTTTTAATTTTTTAATGTCAAAATGAAATATTTACAATATTTCTTAGTCTTTACTTCTCTATGTCATATGACATGTCATTTGTACTTTCAATTCTCCCTTTTAGATAACATAACTTCTAAAGTATCTATCCAATTATAAACAAACTACAAGTATTGATAAACTCAAAAGGAACATTCAAGCCTCCTACCTTCTTGATTCGCTGAGATATTAACTTTCTTGGTACAAGCTCAGACAATTCTGCTGAGTTTGTGACCCCAAATTGACCTTTAGAGTTTCCACACTATAATTTCTAACACGTTTTGTATGTATCTTCAAGAAATTTCACAAGCTTTCAGTAAGTTTTTTTGTGGACAAAAAATCAGAATTTTCAAGGAAGTATTTTTTTATTAAATATTTCTCTGAGAATATATTGAGTCAAAGTGTTGACTGCTCTGAATGGAAAGTAATTTTCATGTTAAGACTAAAAGTAATTTTCTTCATCTCAAACTTGTCAAATTTCCTTAACATAATCTCTACAATATCCTAAATAATGTTGAAAGATTTTTCTTCATTCAAACTTTATACTTTATGTTATTTTATCTTACCATATTATGTAATGCACAAGCTATTCATGAGCTACTTGCAAGCACATCTCGTGAATAATCATTATTATTTTCCTTTATCTTACCTAATCTAACCTAATAAGATTCTAATTTTTATAATTTAGTTACTTTTATAATAAAAAATATGCATGAAAAACAAGAAATACAGTACTTACTTGGGTCTTTATTTTGTTGTCAACTGTTGATGAAACTTAAGCCTACTTTTTCATATTAATGGTACTACTACAGTAAATTTTTTATTTAATTAAATAATGCACCTAAGATCATAGAAAAATAGCATGTAAAAAGCAGACAATGTTTTATAACTATCATAATTTTTCTGGCTTTCTAACTATGCGATAAGTGCTGTCAAAATATCAGTTAAGTTTCTTGATGCATTTCTAGTGGGAATAAAATTTGAACTGGAAGCAAAATTCTATATTCTCTGTACAGAAAACAATGTAATATAATATGTCATTTAATAGATTAAAACTTTGGCTTTCTAGTGGTTATAAATAACATACGATGAAACATCACAGAGAACAATTGGCAATTTGTGAAAGAGAGGATGTGACCAGTGGGTATGGCAAGTGGGTTTGATTTTCTAGTTTATGACTCCATAAACAAATATGATTTAAAGCTATAAAAATTATGTCTCTCTGAGTAATAAATACATTTTAATGAGTAATTTACATTAAATTCCATATTCCTTGAAGGGTGGTAAATAGAAGCATTGCTAGGTACTTAAAAATTTGGGTATCGGGCCTATAGGCACGGGAATTTTAGGTGTTTCAGTATGATATCGATCATGGTTTCTATTCTGATTTTTCAAGACACCAACTGGAGATTTGGGACACAGTTAAATAGAATCGAGACATGGACCCCATATGGCAGTGTCTATTGATGCCTCTGGTGATAGATAAGTTAGAGAAGAGGAAAGATCTAAATAGCAAATGTCACAATTCTCATTCTAGGAGAGATTGAGGATTTTTTTTAAATTTCCTTATAAAATTAAGAAACCAAATCTATATAATATTAAAATTTGATTCATTAACTATGAAAAGAAAGTTAATGTTTCCAACTCACCAGAGTAACCTTTCCCATCTGTCTATTTTTCAAGACAAATATATAATTATACATGTACATTGGTGATGGACATGGTTATAACCAGTAGAAAGAGTATTTTTGTCTTCAATATCAAGCTTACAACCATCCTTTTGCAAATAGGTGGCAAAAGACTAAGGTTAAGGAGGAAGTGTTTGATCCACGTTGAATAAAGTCTGTTTCTAGGAGTAAAAGAATTTCAATCTACTTATAGTTTAGTTAAAAAGCCAGTTAAGTTTTGGGACATTTTATTCTAGTGACTGATAAATTTTTGTGTTCTAAAATGAATGTTTGAAAGGTAATTAATCTTAATTTGAACAGTGAGCTTAGAGAAAAGGAACTAAGCTTAGTGAATAACACCGTGGCGAACCAATGCTCATATAATTCATGGATGAATAAACTGCTTCCATGCCAGGCAATAAATCATAAAATAATACAGATTTGAAAATGTTAACAACTGAAATTGTGAAGATAATTATATTGAAGATGTGATGACACATGATAAATTCAAAGAAAAGCATATCACAAACTTTATTTTATAGCTTTAAACTTTTGGTTTTACTATACAATAATGAATTTGGTGCAGTTCATGTGATGATAAAGAAAATTAATGATAAAATTAAAAAAAAATTTCCAATTCTTTTAGGAGGTTCTACAGGTAATACAAATGAAATATGAAACTGTAAAATGAAAAGTTTTTTATTCTTAACATGAGAATCACAATCAGACTGACTCAGTAAAGGCTTCAAAAAATTCATAGACAAGTCTTTACTAAAAAATCAGATTTTATATTTACAACAGACTTGTAATTTTTACTGACAGACTTAATCATATATATAAATTCAAAAATTCCTAAAACTTTTAATTTTGTAGAGCCTATCAGAATAGTATACATCTTTATTTTACGCTCACTACAGCTTACATTTATTCTTCTAATAAAGTATGTAAAATTAGAAAGAAAGTATGCATGTTTAAAGCTTGTAAATTTTCTTGAATATACACATAATTATGCACACACACACACATATATAAACATTCCAAACTTGCTAAAACTTTTAATTTTGTAGAGTCTAAAGGTGTAGCACAAGTTTTATTTTATGGCCACTAAGCTTACATTTGTTCTACTAATAAAGTATGTAAAATTACAAACTCAAATTATCCATGTCTCAAAGCTTGCAAGATTTCTTGAAGAAACAGTACATTTGGAATTATAATATGTATAGTTTCACAGAACAGTGGTTTCAAGGTTAGTTAAATTAACTGGCTTTTGACCAGCTGGAATTTAAAGGTGAAATGAATACATGCAGTGCTGGATTTAAATTATTATGTGAACAATAAAGAACATTAACTTAACAGAGAATAGATACATACTGATAGTTACAGGTTTGTAGTGGTTTATGACCAGTAGACAGCACAACTTTCACAAAGTCCTTTAGATGGGGCAAAATGGATGAGTTCTCACAATTCAACAGGAGATCCAAAACTGACCCAAACACTAAGGTAACAATCCTGCAAGAATTTAAGATAATTTATGAAAATCCTATGATATTGGTTTTATTACATTTTGCCATTCAGTTTGAATCTATGCAGTTTATGTGTGAACAAATTGTTTAAAAAATTTTTAAACTGACTTAATCCTAACTACATTTGTTCCTTTCTTATTCTCTTATGATAGTACTTGCTTCATCCATGGAAATACACTTGCATGTTGTGCAAGGATGTTTACAGTAGTGTTCTTCAATGGCAAAGCAGATGATATCTAGAGGTTATGCCTTCCCTTATGTTGAATAAGAATGTCCAGTTACATGGATAGCATTAGAGTAAATCCGACATTTCCTTTTTATGGGAAACATCTTGAGAGAAAAAAGCTTGTTAATCAACTCATCAGTCCAGTGTCAAATCAAAGTATGCACACTGTATTTCATGCTTTGATATAAATATAGATTGCTCATTTTGCATTACACATTGTGTACATTCTCTTTATTTCTTACCTTAAAAATCAGAAAATTTATTCAACTTCGAATTTACTTTGTAATTTATAATCTTGAAAATCTTGTTATAAAGTCGACAGATGTAATTCTTTGCAGAAATAAGTTAATCTGAAAATACCACAAAGGGGAAGGATGGAAAAGTTTGGGTGCTGTAATTTTGACCAGCCTGGATTTAAAGGGTTAATTGTATATGTGCAATACTAGATTTAAATTATTAAATGAACAATACAGAACATCAACTTAACAGAAAGTAGATACAGAACTCAAGAAGTACAAAACACCTTAGTCATAATTTTGCAAGTATTTAAAACAATTTGTTAATTTTTATGAAAATTCTGTGAAGTTAGTTTTGTTATATTTTACCATTTATTTGCAGTAGTTGGGATGGATAATTTTAGGTGCTATGACCAGAGGATATTATTGTGGAGTTTTCTGTTTTTATTAATGTGCATATTAGGCTTACATGAACTCTTTAGTTTAAATAAACTGAAAGCAGTACTTTTAATTGAAGGAATGGTGTGTTCTATATGTAGAGATACTCATAACTGAGAAGGAGAGTTTGCCATTGGACAAAAATTGTTGTTCAGTGAGGTGTTGAGCATAGAAGGATAAGACTGTAAACAACACTAACACTGATCTCCCTGCAACCATAGACTCGTGAAGATTGGCTGATATCAAGCGCAGCCAGAATGGCAGATCAAGGGCTGCCTCCGAGAATCTGTCTCAGTGAAATGGATGCATGGATGACCAAGGGTCACAGAGATAGAATGGAACCTGGTGAGCCTGAGAAAAAAATAGGAGGTCTATACAGGCCATCATCAGCCAGAGTATCACAGCTCCAGCTCTGGTAAAGACCACCCAAGAAGGACTGTTGCACTGCTGGTGACAATCAGTCAAAGCTATTTGTCCTGCAAGTGAGACAGTTGTCACCCATGGGTAAAGACAATGAACCATGTGGTAGTAGTGAGCCTCTCCGAGATAGAATGTATCCTGCCAAGACAACCATGTGTTATGCAAAGCTGCAAGATGAGCTGCTGACAGCAACATGCTGCTCTGCCATCATGGACAAGAAAATAACTACCTGTTGGAGTTACTAAGTAGATCTAGCTTCCTACTGGCAGAGACTTTGGCAGCATTACAGGTCTCTGTGAGTGAAGTCGAACAGACTTCACCCTGATGTTCAAAGGAGTGATGTAGGAAGATTTGAACCATTTTTTTTTAGCATTTAAGGTTGGTCACTACTAAAAATGCTGAACTCAGTAGCAGGTAGTCCAATGTTTAATTCTGAGCTTGGACAACTCAGCCCCAAGCTCCAGTCAGCATTTGGATGAGACAAAAGAAAAAAAGACTGAAATGTAGTTGTGTCCAAGTTGCACTATCAATTCGACTCTGTGGAGAATCAAGTAATTCATCAAACCAAATTTAAAGCTTGAAAGAGGAATGCCACCAAGAATCTTGCCACTTACACGGATGATTTGTGCCTTCTGCTCAGTAAAGCTTTCCCTGCAGTGGGTTTAGAAGAATGAGAAGACATTCCCATGGATAACTTTGAGATTAATTGAAGCAGTTTCCATTGTGACAAGGTATGAAGTGATAATTCTGAGCCTGACTTCAGAGAGGAAGAAGCCCACAACAACTGCTGTTGTGGCTATACCTTAAATGGACCATCTTACTCAGGCACCTCCACCATGTCAAGTTCCAGCCATGCTGAGGGTTGTTAGCCACACACTCAGGCATTGTAATGCAACCACACTAGTTTTGGGTGAACAAGCAGGGATATCCAAGTTTAAATGCTACAGCCTATGCAGCTAATACTTCTGCTTGGATAGGAAGAGTAAGCAACTGCTTCACTTGTGATATGCTGGGGCACTGGTGAATGAGCTACCTCTAATTTGCTGAGCAGCAAAAGCAGAAAAGCTACTGATTACAATTAATGGCTTAGCAAGTGTCCTAGAACCAGCAGTGCCCATACTCTGCCAAGCAGAAAAATAGGCAAGGCTATTGGTTTTGACCAATGGCTCAACAGGTCATGTATCCCTTTAGTTAGTTTTCTTTGTAAAAGGGCATTTTATATATGTGCATGTACTTCTAATCTATCTTATATGGTTTATTTTTGTATTATGTATTTTTTTTTGTTAAAGGTGTTTTTCTTATGTATGTATGTATGTATATATCTATATATGTGTGTGTACGTATGCTTATTTTCAAAAAGAGCTTTTGTATTTTGTAAGTGCCCCATTTTCATGTTAATAGATTTTCAAGGGTTTCTTTATCTTTTATTATTTCTTCAAGTAATATTTTACTTTACAAATCATAGTTAAAGGATTTTGATATATTTGAATTTTTGTTCTTTGTTTAAGGGTTGTTATTGGTGTTGTAAGAAGATATTTACAGGGACTAGAGAAAGTTGATGTACTTCTTGACCATGTGATGAGCATACAGTTAATTAATTCTAAAGTTAAAATTAATTTTCAACTTGAGGACAAACCTAAAACAGAGGAGATGGAAAGTGTGGTATGTAGACATATAATGTATTTTTTACTTCATACCTTTGATGTAAAAATGTTCAAAATTTTTTGTTTATTCTGTATCTAAGTAGTTTTCATTTTGAATTACACACTGTTTCCAGCATCTTTATTTGTTAGCATAAAATGCAGTCAGTTTAGTCAACTTCAGATTTACTTTGTATTTATCAACTGATTCTCCCATTGCAACGGAAACCTACCTAATGCTCTTAACAGAAATCAGTTAATCTGAGAATACCAAATTACCAAACCAATATCATTTACAGATATCATGACAGTTTATAATATAGGATTCTATAATTCTATTATTACTTAGAGGGTTAAAATATTGCAAAAACCTGTTTACACTTAAATTTGGTTATCCATTTGTGAATGTTAAACAGAAAGTGTAAGAAAGTTCTTGATGAAAATTCTCATTACATATAAAGAAAGGAGGCAAACTTTAATTCAGTAGTTTTTAAAATTTTTTTAAATAAATATATATGTTATATCCCTTGATCATAAGTTTTCAAGATAATTATCACATGTAAATCAACAAAAGATTTATTTTTAAACTAATCATACAAAATTCTTTTTTATTCAGATTTTTCTCACTGAGATTTGTAGCTGAGAGACACAGTAGATCATCTGTGAATGTTTCCTTTACAGAAGTTTTGCAAATATTAACATCATAACTGTAATGTTTCAAAATTATTTTCTGTTCAATTTCAACAAACCTGATTTTTATGAAATCTTCTGCTCTGGTAAAAAGCTCCATCAGAAACACTACAGCCTAGAAAATGAAAAAAAATACTTTTAAAAAGTATTTCTAATATGTTTTTACTTTTCCTTACAAGAGACTTTTCATTCAGTGTAAATTTTAGGCCAGATGTACTAAAGTTATGATACACTATAAATCATGGAATAAAACGAACTCTTTCAGACATATATATTTGATGAATTATGAAGTATCTGTTTTGTATGAAATGATTTGTTAAAAGTTATGGAGAATGCTGGATTATAAAAAATTATCCCCAACAATTTGAGAAATGAATTAAAAGGAAACAATGTACTACAAATTATGAAAAATCACTTGCACAAAAAACACCAATTTGCAATATCAACATTAAATATAAGTATCTGATACCCTTTACAGTAATTTCTTTAGAAAGAATGGTTCTGGGCTGCATTCAGTGAAGGGTTCTTCCAAAGGTGGTTGGTGACAGGCACTTGAACTCAGAATTCAGGAACTGCATTTGGCACTCAAATTACAATAAAAATTATTAAATGTCACTAGTTTGTATACAAAGTACAGTTTTGTGCATGGTTTGACTGTTCTGCACACAAGATTTGATTCATGTAATGTATATCTCTTGGTTCTTCACGTTTTTTTGTCCATGCCGATGTTTCTTAGTTACCTATGTTTTGATTTTGAGGAATGACTACACTGAAACTTTTCCAACATCTCTCTTGTGTGGGTGTGTGATTATGAACAGCTAATCTGGTGGCTGAAAAGCTTGTTACTTTTGTCCTTCGCAATACTATTGCTATGTTGATTCTTGTTGTTGCCTATATGCTTCTGCTGTAACACAAGTCATGCCCGTGACCCAATTTACAAAAAATATGACAACCTATCTCTGTGGACAATGCAGTAAGGTTCGAATTTGACATGAAAATGCTGTATGTGAATCCACCAAGATAACTGCAACTAAGTCGATTTCTTACTTTATAAAGACAAGAAGATGATTTTCTTTACTGTATGTATTTTTTATTAATTTGAATTTTACTAACATTAACACTGTCAGCTATTAAGCCTATTTGCAATTTACTACCTTCCTTATATGTCATGATGTGAGGTCTTATAAATGATCAGTTTATAATTACTATTTGATATTCAATATGATTATAGTACAATACAGTTTCTGTGCTACTTGATGCTACAAAGTAACATAGCTTGTGTTAAAAAATAACTTATTATCAAGACATTGGTTGTGTGTCGTGGCACCAAAACAACCTGCAGGACACACTGTGTGTTATTAACAGAAGTGATAGTTTCGCAATTTTCCACTTTCTGTAGCTTGGACTGTGTTAACCCAAACTATCACATATTTTCAGTGGATGTCCTCTAAGTGAGGTTTGCTTAGTAATGCAGCTTGCAGCAACATAAATGTTAGACCTCATCGAAGTAGCTACTTGAGAGGAGCTGTGAGAAAAACAGATATATATATGAACCCCAACACTCTGCAGTAAATGTAGTAAGCAGTAATAGAACAGATAAGGCAGACTGGCAAAATAAGCAGAATAAGCCTGGTGGCTTCCAATATCTTAACTATGGCAAGGTTGGCCATATAGTGAAATACTGCTTTCAGAAACAGAAAAGAAATGATCCAATAGCATGTTTCAATTGTAGTATTAAAGGCCAAGTAGCTCAAGATTGCAGAAGCTTGCCTAAGGCAGAAAACAGAAAAGCTACAAAGGCTGGGACTTTCAGAAGAAAGTCCCTGAGAAATAATAGTAGCCCTACATTTGCTGTAGAATCAAAAACTGTAATCGCTGCCAGGACAACAGAGCAAAAGTGCAGGTAGTTCTGGCAGTATAGAATAAAAGATTCAGTTATAGTAGAAATAGAGCGTATAGCATGTCAGTTATTGATTGACACAGGTGCTCAATCTTCACTGCTAAGTGCAGAACTAGTAAATTGACACAGAATGCTAACATTTGTGAGGCTAAGAATCAACTGTCAAAATACAAAAGCACTGATCTTCCAGAGTGTAGCAATACACGACAAAGTTGGCGTGGTAAGAATAAACAGAAAGGTTCTAAACCTAGCAGAAGTGGTAGCTGTAGTAGTAGTAAGAAAATGAAGAATAAAGTAAGTGATAATAAAGGAAGGCAGAATAAGATAAAAAATAAGACTGTTAAACAGGAATATAAAATATCAAACCCCTCAGATGACTCTACACTTATGTCTAACATAAGCAACAGAGCATCCCAATAGGTACCTGTAAGGTTAGTTAAAGTAACCGAAGTGCCTGCGAAAAGTCAATTCATTGTTGAAGTTAAAAAGTAGATTAGTTTAAGTGTAATGAAGAAGTGTTAATTGAACCTATTGAAATTAAGGAAACAAGAGTTTATATAGCTGCTTGTATTAGTAGTGTCCAAAAGAGACACAGTGTCTATAAAAGTGTTGAATATAAATGAAGAAAAAGTAATACTACCTAAGCACATAGTGGTAAGACAGTATAATGTACGAAATACTAATAGACAAGCACAACAAAATAAGATAGATGGGGATTTTATCTTAGGAAATGTAGAAAAGAAGTATAAGCAAGGTTTGATAACTTTGTTAGAAGAACATAAAGACATATTTGTAGGAAAAAATGGCTCTTGTACAGTTGTACAAATAAGGTTAAACACAGAATAGTGTTGAATAACAATAAGCCTATAGCACAGAAACCCTATAGAATGCCAGAGCACATGGTAGAATTAAAGGAATGTGTAAAGAAATGCTTGAACAGGAGTAGTAGTCCATACACATCCCCAGTTGTATTAGTTCCTAAGAAGGATGGAAAATTAAGGTTCTGTGTGGATTTTAGAAAGGTAAACGGTATAGCAGTCAAAGACATTTACCCATTACATAATATCCAAGAAACTTTAGATAGGTTAGGTAAAAGTAAATAGTTTTTTCTATGGATTTACAAAGTGGATATTGGCAGGTAAAAATAGAAGAAGAGGATAAAGCTAATACTGCTTTTGTTTTAATCCTTTCGAGATGGGTCACAGGTGAAAGGCCATGTCATCTAGTTTGTTAACTCACATTCAAAATTTTATTGAACTACTTTTTCATGAATTTATGTCAGTAAGTTTGGAATCAAACTGTAGATTAGAATTCAAATTTTAGAACTATATATTACTCAATTTGTTAATTCAAAAGTAAAAATTAAAAACACAGATAAATATTGATTTTTGTGTGTCACGTGGTATGTTGAATGCAGCACTGCTTCAAATTAGATGTTTGTGAAGTCAAAATACAAGCTGACATATAAAATAAGGTCATATCTTTTCTATTTGCTAAGATATTGCTCACGTAATAAAACAAACTTAGTGGCACCCTGCTCACCTCCTTCCCATTTTGGAAATGCTCCCTAACACCATTTCTTTCTTGTAAACCAAGATTTCAATGAAGTAGGTTGTCTTTAGTCTGCTCGAAGTTTCATATATTTTTAGACCCAAATACAGCTTAGTTGCTAAGTTTGATAAATTATAATAGAATTCTATGGTATTGATGTAGTAATTTATGATTTTTAGTTATTCAAAAGTATATATAAAACCTAAAAAAATATTGTTTCATGTCCTCCACGTGAAAATTTTTTAAAGGCTTAGCAACCTACATAAAGCAGCAACCGAGTACAAAGGTCGTAACTAGAAGACGTAATTGTTTGCTTTCCTTTTTTATTTACTGTTCTATGTTTTAAGAAAAATAAGTTTAAGAACTTATTTCAAAATAGCAATAATCTATATACATATATAATGTATAATAATTGAAATATGACTGTGTTTTACAAAATACTAGACTACTAAAACACAGCCAAGACAAGTTACTTTGTACAGACCAAAGGTCACCTTTATGTTATTTGATATAGTAACATGAGTGCACATGAGCCATGTTGTTGTAACTTCTGTATTGTTAGCCAGGCACGAGTGAAAGGTCAGTATAATAAAATATATACATAAATGTATAATATTAGGAGATTTAAGCTATTTTGTCTAAACATTTATGTTTTTGTGTTATAATTTGTGTTTTTTCTAGAATGAAAGGAGCATAATTTATGTTTAATTCGTAATTTGTCATGGTGGTTGCGAGATCGGTCAAATTTACAGAGATTAATTACCGAAAATAACAGCTAAAATATAAAGTTTTTTCTTAACAAATGTTTTATAACTATCTGGACATTATACAGATTTTGCATGTGAAATTTCAAAATTATCTGATGCATAAAAGTATTTTTAATGTTAAAATGGAAATTACATTTTGCATGATAGATAGTCAAGATGTGAAAAAAAAAGGCATGAGAGAAACATTGCTTAAGACTTAATAAAAATATTACATATTTTGCATATGAAAGCATTGTAATGTTTACTGATAAACTGCCAAATTTTGTTAACATTTTCTTACTAATTTAGAAGTTATAGCATGAAAACTATAACAAGCACAAAATGGTTACAAGGACCGAGCCAAAGTTGAAAAAGAGTTAACTTTCAGTCAAATACCATATCAATAGAATTCCAATTGGCTTAAACAATGCGTCTTCAACACTTCAGAGATTAATGGATGTTGTATTATCAGGATTGCAAGAGTTGGAATGCTTTTGTTATTTAGACGATGTCATAGTGTTTGCTGCAAGCTTTGAAGAACACTTAGAAAGATTAAGGTATGTATTTGATAGATTACGAGAAGCAAAACTACAGCTTAAGCCGAGTAAATGTCAATTCTTAAAAACTTGGGCACTGTCCCCAAGTTTCTGCAGTGAAGTCTTTCTTCTGCACTTTCTTCAGCTCCTATGAAACTACATTTGAGTTGTCACTCTTTGAGACTTTAAAAGCCCTTTAAGCTCTTCTGATAACTGCAGTTGCTTCGGCAGTCTTCTTTTTTTTTGTCTAGTTCCTTTAAATTCTTACTAACTGGTGAGTTTCCTATCACCAAGTCATGTAGTGGTTCCTTAATACACAAGACCTCAAGGTCTCCTACAAAATATGGGGTATCCACCTGTATTTTTGCTATACGAAACTTTC